GCTCTCGGTGTTTGTACAGAGCTGATTATTATCTCTGCCGGCCCTGGTTCGCCAGCACCGAGTCCTGAGTGGGAAGAAGGCACCTTTGCATCAGTGACCGACAAAGCGGGTTTCTATTTTCGCCGGATCCTCTGAACCGCGTGCATTCCCGATTGTTCGTAATTTCACAGGGGAAAGTCGACTGGGAGAGAGAAAGAGAAAGAGAAAGAAGGAGCTCTTGCAATTTTTACGAGCCTCTAATCAGCCAGTTGATTGAATCTCGCGTGTAACCGCGCCGCGAGCAGAAAATCCCACCTCCCCCTTTCCGTTTTAGCCCGATTTGCTACAGCTTTTAAGCCGATAACGGGGGAATCCCTCCTCCCCCCCCCCCCTCCCGATACCTTTCGTGCGCCAAAACGTTTTCATTTTCCATCCAAGTGATGTTTAACTTTATAAATTCGATTTGCTCGTCTCGACCTCCCTGTAATTTCCCACTTTAGTGCCGGTACACTTGTGAGTGTCGTTTACCTTTCTTCACTTGGGATTTCTTTCATTGGAGAGTAATTTAGAAAGACACGCGTAGTTGTTCCGAGTTAGGAATTTCTGATGGGACAAAGTTGTCGAATTAAATTAATTTATATTGAACTATATCGGTCTATCCGACCGATTTATTTGAGGAGAAGGGGGGGAGGAAGAAGAAGAGAGCTGATGCTAACAGCGTTATAAATTAATTTTGTTGCAGGAAGGCCGGGGGGAAGTGACAGACATCAGTGCAAGTCCTGGAAGGCAAGCACCTGCCAACCAGTTGCGCCCCAAGGAACCACCCCCCATGGTCATTCAGGGAGACTTCAGAAAGGTAACTGACTCCCAAACGTAACGCTTTCTGTCCTCTCTGAACAACTGAAATCTTATCTACCTTCTCTTCTCCTGGGTATTATATTCCACCTTTGCTCGGCAAAGGAGATTAAAATCTTGGTTGCTTGCAACGTTTCCCCTGTGGAGAGAAGCTAGATTATCCTGCTGTTTCCCAGAGAGTTTAGATATCCCGATCTCCGACAGGATGATTAGATCTCCAAGGAGCCAATTGATAAACGTAATTACTTCAAAAATGAGAGTAGATAGAGGGAGGCAACAGGAAATGGGGATCAGATTAGAGGGAACCATCAGACCAATTCGCCTCCTTCGTGAAACTGTTCCAGCAACGACTCTCTACCAACAGTATATATATATATATATA